CTTGTGCCACCAAGTTTGTCGTACGTACGTGTCTCCAGATGTCAAGTTTCCCGCCCACAAACAAAAAACAGAGTGCCCACAACCCTCTTAAGACTTAACCAACCCTCCGCCCTCGGCAGTCCTAATTTTTTGGAAACTAAAAATGTGGGAGAAGTTTGAGATAGGTGTTTGCAAGGTTTGCAGACGTCTGCTTTCATCTGTCTGGCAAAATATCTCTCTCCGGGGATTTTCAGTGTATGTAGCTCTTACGAACATACCCGTAGGGGTGAACTGCTGACGGGGTTTGCGATGAGGAGCGATCCGAACGTGGATTTTCAGATTATGTCGCTCTTTGCGTTTTTTTTGCCGCGATTTTGCTGATTTTGGCCCCAACAAAACCAGCCTCGGACTCGGCTCAGAGCCCGAAAAATTGATTTACCAGGAGAATTCTGCTCTTTGTCTAAGTAAGCCATTGGTTCGCTTTCAGCAGATTTTACAAACACAGCACTTGGAGACACAAAGATTCGCACAAGCGGTCGGTTTGCAATTGGACCCAACGTGCAAGCCGCAAGCGCCCGTCGGCTTGACCACACAATTCCAAGCGCATCGTGGGCCGCCGAGGCGACCTTTGGCGGGCAATGCTGCCGCTGTTGGTTGCGCCGCTGGCCTCGGAAGACCCGTGTCTCGAGAGCAATGTCTTCCGGGACCCGCACATCAATTTTGCCTACGGAGGCTCCGCCGACCTGCGCGGCCGCCACAACACGCTCTACAACTTCCTTGTCGATGGTGGCGAGCTGCGGACGACCATCATTCCCCGCGGGCCACAAGAGACAGCGCGATACGCCAATGGCATCCTAGATGGCATCTTCAACTAGCCGTGCAGGAAAGGCGGCCGCGACGGCGCATCGCGCGTTACTCGAGTATGGTGAGGCGCTTCGCGCATGGCCATCAAGGCTGGGGCGAGCTCGAAAGAAAGAAACGTAACCGGGGATGAGGTGTTGTTGGGTTTCCGGCGTTATGAGGGCAGATATTTCTCTGATTATGATTGCACTTGGAGCACTTGGAGTGCAGTCGGTAGCCTCACATCCAGGGCCGGTGAGCTGAGAAGCGCATCCAGCGGGCCGGATGATCGGGATCGGGCTACGGGCTAGAGAGCCCTGACCCCTAGCTAGGGGGGGTGCGCATTCGCAGGGCAAGGGCCTTAAAGTAAACACGGGTCTCCGAGGGTTAGTTCTGCGCTTTGGGTGTCCCCTAGCGGCGGAACGCCTCCTCTACTCGGAGCTAGTAAACACCAGACACTAGACACGAGCATGACGTACACTCTCACCCGACATCGCCACTCAGGGCTCCTCCGCCCGATCTCCCCACCCCCCATCCGAGGGGGCTCCCCTCTCCTCCAGGCGCATCAAGAATTCTTTATTCGACAACGCCGGCATGGACGACTGTCTCCAGCAACTACTCAATAACACCACTGCATTCCTCGAAACCGAGTGCCCAAAACTTTTCGTCAGCAAGGCGATCGGCTACGCCGTGATCGCTGGCAGCGCGCTCGTCAAGCTGCCCCAGATCCTCAAGATCCACCGGGCTGGCAGCGTCGCGGGCATCTCGCACGCTTCCGTCCTGTTTGAGTTTGTGGCGACGCTGGTCAACGTGAGCTACTTTCTGCCGCTCGGCTACCCGTTCTCCACCTGGGGCGAGAACGCCTTCCTCCTCGCCCAGAACAGCGCGCTCTACATCCTCCACGCGCACATGTCGGGCGGGCTGCGCGCCAGCTTTCTGCTCGAGGC